CGCCGTTGCCCTTGGCCTGGGCGCTGTTGCTGGCGGCGGCGGCGGCGGCGAACTTGGCGTGCGCGAAGTCGGGCATGAAGAAGACGGGCTCGTGGTCATGGAGGAAGCTCCAGTCGGGCGCCGGCTGCATCTGCAGGAAGGGCGAGTAGTACCCGCCCGCCGGCGCGGACATGGGCGTGGCGGTGGGCGACATGGGCACGAACTCCGGCGCGTGCACGTTGAACTTGAAGGACGCCGGCGCCGACATGGGCGTGGGCGGCGCCGCGGTGGCGGTGGCGCTGGCGTCGGGGTCAGGGCTGCTCTCCTTCGCGGCGGCCATGGCTGGCGGTCAGGTGGTGACCCAGGAATGACGGATGGATCGTGGCCGGCGCGGCGAGCTTATATAAAGGCGGGTGGGGGAAGGAGGAATGGTTGGTCTGTGCGTTTCATGGCCGCTTCTCCCGCGCACGCATGCACTGCACGCCCGCATGTCTCGTCTTCTCCAGCCCTTGACCCTTGACCCCAATGAGGGACTCCGCTTACATCTAGGGCCCCTAAATCTCCCTGCTAATTTGGACCTGCGCCTCTCCACTAATCTGCCACCTCAATCGCTACTAACCCCTTTAACCAAACAAGCAACCTAATCTTGCATTACTGCAGTGAATCTGCAACGTTGCACCAGCACCCACACACACACACACACAAAAAAAAAAAACAGAACATTACACATCGCACTAGAACGGAAATGGTTCATATCAGCAAGTGCTAACTGTATTTCCATCAAGCAGAAACAACCGTGTTTTCTTGTCCATGAGCTAGACATTTTATAGAGCCAACACAAGACAATTTGCAAGGAAGAAATAATGGCAACACGCAGGGATTTCATGTCCTGGAGATTCTAGCAGAGCTCAACTGTAAGATTTAACTGGGGAACAAAACATCTCCTCAAGCCATGATCTTTGCTGACCTCATGTAAAGGCTCTCGACAACCTTCCCCACATTCGAAATTGTTTCGAGCGTAGCAGGGAATATCGCCTCCGTCTTGGCGTCTTCGAAGATGATGAGGCAGCCCGCACCCTGATCCAGAGTCCCTGCGAATTTCTTGTCCAGGATCATCTGTGACAGCTTCTTCTCAACACGCTCAATTGGCAGCTCAATCATCTCTGCTACGTGCGCAATCTCCACCCTTGAGTAGGCTTCAATCAGCCTGCACAGGTTCTGCTCCAGGAGGGTATCATACAGAGACGAGAGGTGCCTGTGGACAATAGGATCCTCCTCCAGCTGGGCCTTGTAGTCACCAAGAGCGGTTTCAAAGTACTTCAGAGATCGTTTCGAGTAGGCATCCGCAACAGCTTTCATAGCATCCACATCAGGACCAACATACTTCAGGCCTGCCTTAGACGAGATCACTCCTGCAACATCATCAGCTTGGTTGACCATTATCTTGCACAGAAGCATGTACTTCAAGCAGAAGATGGCCTTAGGGTCGTCCAGTGCATTAAACCCTTCAAACGCTTCAAAGAAGTAACTGTAGGCAGTCTTGTAATCCTTCTCTTCGGCATGAAGGATTCCACTCTGCAGGTCAATAGTGCCCTGCTGCGCTGGCGGAACATAAATGGCATTCGCTGCAGTTCTTGCGGCAGTCAGAGAAGCCTTGGCCTTTGGAAGGTTCCTTAGAGAGAAATGGAGTTTGCTCTCCAGAAGGTCAATGTCAACAAGAAGCAATTTGTCATCCAGCCTCCTCACTTCCTTGATAAGACCAGAAAGAAGGGTAAGAGCTTCAGTGTACTCCTGACTTTCCAAAAGAAGGGCTGCTAGTCTTGCTTCCACACGCTGCCTGAGGAAGGTACGTTTCTCTGCACGTGTCCATTCCACCATCTCCTTGCAGAGTGAGATCTGAAGATCAGATGTTCCAGGTATCTTGGAAACGGCATCAATGATGCCACGTACAATCTTTGCGGTCTTTGCCTTGGGAATCAGTGCGAAAAATGGCCTGAGCTGGGTCAACAGATTCCTAAGCTCCTGGGCTCTGTTCTCTTTTGTGAGATAGTTTGTCAGATTTGTAATGGCAACTTCTTTTGTTCTAACTGCATCTGAAGAAGAAGACGGGTCTTCAAGCACACGGTAGAGGATTAAAATGGACTCTGAAGCATCCTTAGCTTCCTGAGCCATTGCAATTGACTCAGTGGTAGCAGGAAGATACGATGATTGCATCGCAGACATGGTCAGTACACCCTGTCACAACAGGATATGGATTATTCAAAAATAAATCATGTCGACCAAGAAGGCAGTGTAAATAATAACCAATAGAGTGGACAACACATAATAATCGAGCATCTGGAGGGCATAAATATGAAGAGAAGCTCGGCCAACATAAACCAAATAAACAGCTTTAATGGCTCAATTGGTACGCAACTAGTTGCAGCACCTTGTTATTTACTGAGGCCCAAAGTCAAGAATGAAAAACAGATATACTTATACATAACCGAAGATCAGACACTAAATTCACCATCTTTGGCAACCAACAAAACATCTAGTTGATACACCAAACATTATACTGAATCATCTGGAGAGGAACGTATTAAGAGGAGCTCAGCCAGTACAATGGCTCAATAAACTAGTTTCAAGACATAGTTATTCAACTAGGCCTAACATTAGGATTTGAGATGCAGATATACTTGTACAGATCCTAATATGAGCCACTTAAAATGCAAAAGAACAGCTTAAGGTTTCAGAAGGTAAGTCGGCTCCTATGCATTTTGGAATAGCTACATCACATTGCAGACTTGAAAATTAGAACATATGTACCGACAACCTTGGTAGCGGGCATGGTCTAAACCCTACCACCGTCATGGCTGACATGCATACTGATTAGAGTTGAGAGATACAGTAAGAAAAAGACTTGTGAGATACAATAATAAGTAAAGTTAAGAAAATTGGGCGAAATCACCATTGTACGGTGTACCCCAAGCCTTCAGCCTATATCTCATCAAATGCCAACAGGTGAGCAAAAGAAGTTGCTAATGGCGTTTGACAGATTTCTTGATGGAAAGCAACAAGGAGTTAAATTAAATTGATGATTCCCCTTTTCTCAATTCGGTGGTTCCACGGGTATTTTGCGAATAGAGTTGGCTCGTCAGCTAACGAACAAATCCATATGAAGATGTACAACCTAGAACTGAGAATCCCCCTTTAAGAATCGCTCCGTTTGAGCCCTCAGGAGCCAGATCTCGTCCTCAAACCAAATCAAGCAGTGCGAGCTAACAGAAGCACCGGACCACGACTGTAATCGAAGAAACTGGATCCTACTGACATTACAAAATAAAGACACGAATTCGCCATGGCGGGACTATCCAATCCGAAGTAAGACTCAACCCTAACTGGGACGGCGGGATCTAGGAGATGGGGGGAGGAAGGCGGGAGAAGAAGGGACGGGGGAGGGGCCGCAGTACCGGGCGAGCGATGGCGGATTTCCTGCAGAGATGAGACGGAGCGGAGGAAGCAAACTCTCAATGGCGGCCGGCCCAATGGGTAGAAGGAACTGGACTTGGAGAAGAAGCTGGTCTGTTCTCTTGAGGTTGCTAGTTTGCGTCGAGGACGGGGGAAGTGTTTGCTACGTCTCCCTGCCAAACGGGTCCCGGTTGCCAGGCTCTCAGATTTTTCTCCTTTTCACAAGTTTTTTTTAGTTGAACCGCGCTCTTTATTTAATGTAACGATGTTCATTTTGGGATACAAAGGGTGTGTTCAGTTGGGGGACCATCCCCAACTGTCATGGAATGGAATGGTTCCATTCCAGAGGAACGGGTCTGTTCCATTCCTGTGTTTGGTAGGAGCAAAAGAGTAGAACGGGTCGGTTCCGTTCAAGTGTTTGGTTGGAAGCACGTAATGAAAAATGAAACGACCTAAAATTTAAAATTTCGGCAGCATTTCGTTTGTAATTTGATTAAAAACAACATAACAGTTGATATTGACAAGTTTATAACACATGAATGACAGCACATAACATAATTTTCAACAAGGTGCACATACAATCATACAGTTCACAAACGAAATTCCCAAAAGCATCAAAGTGCAATAGTCATACATGTCAAGTTCACCACTGGTTGACAACCACATATGTCAAGTTCACAACGCAGTCTTCAAAAGCAGCCACAAGTTCACATAATTGTCAAGCATACAACCATATTGAATTTAGAAGTTCTTCTTCACATACCTACTCACCCAAAAAGACTTGTTGATTTGGGTAAGTTTCATGAAGGCTCTTGCTGTCTTGGGGTTGTCCACAAGATGGGCATAGTAGTGGGCTAGGTGCTCTTCATCAAAATCTGGCAATACAGACACTACGTCCCAAAGGTCGTCGGGTATATCATCATCATCTCCACTAGACTTAGCAAGCGCTTCAGCCACAAGTTTGAACCCATCTTTGAGAGTGGTAACTAGTGGATCATCAACAATGTTCTTTACCTTAGCCTTCTTTTTGGGTGGTGCTTTGGGGTCAGAAGACTCACCAACATTTGGTGACGTGTTCACCTCACCATTCTCCTCGTCTTCAATATCAATAGAAAGAAGATCATTGCCAGACCTAGCACCCAGCCCCTTAGCCCCCATTGTCCCATAAATGGAAGCCAAGGCATGATAGTATTCAATTGGGGTATTCAAGAAGGGGGCATCAACTTTGTGGGTATTCAAGAAGGGGGTATTCTAGAGGCAATAACAAATGGACAATAACTATCTAAGGCAACTTCTTACCTGGTGGTACTTGTAAGCCTCTCTCTCGCGTTAATGCATCAGCTAAAACGGTCGCATCGTGTGTTGACCCTTCCCAACCAGCTAACACATATGTGAAGCGGAGATCAAAATCTACCGCTGCCATCACATTTTGGGTTGTAAAGGCCTTCCTACCACGAAACGAATGTTCGACATCTTTGGTAACACCAGCTCGCACATATGTACCATCGATAGCTCCAATACAATCCTATAGAGGGACAATTAGTAGATGCCATATCATATGGCCTACATACCTAAGGAATAGTTTCTAAAATTACCTTAAAATATGGGTCAAATCGATGATTTCCTTCAATTTTTGCGGGGGTCTCCAACGATGGTGGCCGTATATAATCGTTACGAAGCTCGCCTATGGCATGAAGAGTCTTTCTAAAATAGATGCTGGTTGTGCCATATGATCTACAAAAATTGGCTGACACCACTCTATTCCGAAGGTTATGCCCAATTGTATGCAAAAACATCGCTAATTGTTGCTCCACGCTAACATGTGGACTATCTTCTAGCAACTTGCGATCCCTCATTATGGCACACAAATTGAAGAATGCAGCTCTTTCAAACCTTAGCATGTTTTTACATAAGACATCGCTTTGCCAATTTTTTTGGTTTAGATAATCGTATCTGATTCGATCTCTTTCATGCATTGGGCCATAGGTAATCCGTGGTCTTCTCTTCCTTACTATAGCCCGAACAATTACTGCCATTGCAGCTAGTGCAACAAAAACAACAGCTCCCCTAACCATCTTTTTTCTTTTGTTCATCTTCATGACCATCTACGAGTTACCAATGATGCTTACATCAACATATATATTGCAAACATACACTGGACAACAAATAAACATGAACACTAGCTGCATATACAAGGGGAGGTGTTATTCTACCTTCACAGTTCGATTCCGGCCGTCGAGCACCCGCTGCTTGGAGTCCTTCCGTCGAGCTGCTACAAAATGATAGAAAAAGAGAGATTATTAGGCATCCAGAAGTGAGGAAACTGCCCATGGGGATAGGAAACGACCGGCATAGATGGGTGGAACCGGCCGCCATGGAGAGGAGGACCCTGCCGTGGCCGGGAAGAGGAGGAACGGGCGGCCAGGGATGGGACAAATTGGCGCCGGCCGGCTGGGAAGGGAGGCCCGCTGCAGCTCAGATCCATGGAGTGGGGGAGGAGGGGAGAGGAGGGGGA